GGGTGAATCCTATAAAGTTCATATCATTATATTAATGTTTTATTATATTTATTATATTCTAGATTATTGATTTTTAAATTTGCTTTTTTTATAAATAGTCGTGTGTTACAGAAACTTATATGCATCATGAAAACTCACAAGTTTTAAACACGGCTTTTGCATTGATTGCTTTAATGGCAGGTAAATATCCAAATGAAGAGCCTATTCGACGCGGTATCCAGGTATATAAATAAATTTTTACTAAAAGTGCTGCGCTTATCTACGTATTTTTTAATAGAGAATTAGTATTAATATATTTATATAATTATATTAATTAAAATCATCTTTTGCAGCTTATTATATCACGACAATTGCCAACTGGAGAATGGAAAACAGAATATGTTGAAGGAATAATTAACAATATGATGGTTAATTATTCAGCATATAAATTTATTTTTCCGATTTGGGCATTAGGCATGTATGCCAAAATTTATAATAATCCTATAATTTTTTTAAAAAATTCATTACACATATTTAGGTTTACAATTATAAAATAATATTTGTATTTTGTAACAATTTCATAATTAACAATATTACGGTTACTTATTCAGTATATAAATTTATTTTTCCGATTTGGGCATTAGGCATGTATGCCAAAATATATAATAATCCTATAATCTTTTAAAAAATGCATTACACATTTTGGATTTACATTTATAAAATAATATTTGTATTTTGTAAGAATTTCATAATTAACAATATTATAGTTACTTATTCAGCATATAAATTTATTTTTCCGATTTGTGCATTAGGCATGTATGCCAAAATATATAATAGTCCTATAATCTTTTAAAAACTGTATTACACATTTTTAGATTTACAATTGTAAAATAATATTTGTATTTTGTACCAATTTTACAAATAACAACTTTGTGTACAGAAAATTAATGTAAAGACAAGATTATTCACAGACGAATAATTTATAGGCAGTCGGGAATAATCTTGTCTGCAAATTAATTTGATCAGTATAATAAAAAACATTAAAATGATTTGTTAAAGTGCAAACTTAGACCTCAATAAGTGCACATTTCCTTTGATGATATATTATTATCAGTTATGGAGGGTTGACTTTGTTTTGATTGACATAGTAATCTGATGACGCATGTAGGGATGGAAAAGTTCCGGGTAGGTTCTTATAGGTTCTAAGTAAATTAATAATTTTTAAGCTGATGTTTTTTTTTTAGTTCTTAATTAAAGTTATTAATTGTAAAATTATGATGACCAATTTTACTTATAAGCATAAAGCAAAAAAAACTTTCTTTAAAGTTTTATTTGCTTCATGTTTGTAAGTAAAATTTCATAATTTTATAATTACTTTTTTAAGAACTTAAAAAAAAAATTAGTTTAAAAATTATTAATTTACTTAGAACCTATCAAAACCTAACTGGAACTTTTCATCTACAACCTTGATTGTTCCTCATGACATATTTGGGATCTTTTGCTAGTGACATGGTTGAAATAGTGAGCCTGTCGCTTCACAATCAGATTGTCATGTAACATGTGATGTGCTGCATACAGAACTGTATACAAAAATTTCGATTATACCCCTGCTGAGTAAAGTGCTTTTAATCAACTTAGTAAAATTATGTCGAAAATGCTAAAATTTTTCTCAGTAATATTTGTTAAATTAGCCAAGTAAGATAATATTGTATATAGTATGATGTATTAATTACCAGAATAAAATATTGACATTTTTTAAGTAATACTGAGAATTTACAAGAGACTCCTTTCATTTTTGGTACTGAGATGTGACCAATCATGTGCGTAACAAATAAGTATTTATATAAAGCTTATATAGTGAATATTTATCTGTTACACGATAATTGTCATACCTAGAATCAAATGAAAGAGGTCACTTATATAAGAAACTTGGATACATGAGACATAAATTGCTGTCTTTAATTCATGAGATTGAATAATATATGGGAATGTATAAGGCGAACAAGGCTTAGAACTATATAATATATAGTCTTGAAGCCTTGTTTTGTTGTATATTGTTATATACATATAATGAAACTCCTGCAATAACTTTAATTTTCAAAAAAGACCATTGTTTGTATGCATTACCAAACTTAAATTATTCAACTTTGTACATAGTATTTCAATTTTCAGATTAACCCCACTTCTGAATTAAAGAATAGATCAGCAACTTTAAAGTTTCTAGGCTTGTCTAAATTCAAATTGATGCTTGTATTCTTGAACTAATTTGGTATTATAATAGAGAAATCTTTTATAAGTTATAATATATATAAACTATAACTATATATTTATAATATGCACTTTTATGTTTTAATTTTATTTTAGTGAAATAATTTAGCTAAAAAACTTCTACTATAGCTTAAATCAAAAGAAAACAATAAATATTTTACTATATTGAATCAAAGTTTATTCAAAATCTATATTAAGCTTTTTATTAGATTAACATTAACCAAATAGAACTAATAAATAATTTTTAGTTATTACAAAATATGTTAATAAGAAATTGCATATTTATATTTGTAAAATTTATGAAATCAAAATTTTTTGATTCTGATACTTATAATTATATATTTAATTTTATAATTTTGAAAATCTTATTTAATATAAATTGAATATTAAAGTATATAAATATAGAAACTTAAACATTTGTATAATTAGAATTTATAAAAAAATTTGTATAATTAGAATTTATAAAAAAAATTGTATAATTAGAATTTATAAATTAGAATATGTTCATTGTAATTTTTATAATAGAAAATATTTTATAACAAGTCTTTTATAAAATTATACTTATATTGTATTAGAAATTTGTTAAATAAAATATATATAGAATGCAAATCACTAACTCTTTCTGATGATCATTTGTACCAAATTTCTGCTGCAAACATTTGTCTCTTACTCAATATTTTATTAAGTAAACCACTTCTAGGCATCTAAGTAAAGTTGTTTCTAATACATTTTACACTTAGATAGCTAAGTTTTATATCTCTAAGTTTCTTTTTAACAGAGATATACTCAATAAACTAACAAATGTTTCTATTCAAGTTATCTAAAGTTTTATTAGATTAACTGTTCTGGTGACTTAGAACAAACTGAAAGAGCTCATTATCAGTTCATTTTAATATATAAATCATCAAAAATGGCCTAAAATTGACTGATTTATCAAAAATACTTTTAAACTCTTTTGCAAAACTTTATATTTTATTTTTACAAAATTTTTTTTAATTTTTTTAGAGACTGTCTCTAGTCTGCCCTATCCAAACCTGTCCAAACAGAATTACTAATCAATATTACACTATCTGAATTAGTCTGTATTGTTTACAAAATTGTATTCTTTTAATTTTACACAACTTTTCTGTTCAATGTCAATCTTGATTTACAGATCTGCAAATGTTACATATTCTGTGTAATACTCATTTGGCACATTCTGTGTTTGTCACATCCTCTTATTTTTCATACCCTGTTATCTGTTACATCCTTATTTGTTACACCTCTTATTTGTCATACCAATATATCTTTCAGATCATCTTATATCCAAGATTCCAATAATCTACTTTATTTTTATCTTTAAGCAAAAATGTTAATTCTTATTAATGAAGATCCAGATTCCTATGATATTGACTACTATCATGACAAATACAAAGATTGTTACAGTATAGAAATGACTAAAAGAAGACCTCAATCTCTATGAGTACTTTCTGCAGATATCAATTCAATTAATTGTGATGTCTCTGTCAAAAAACATCATTACTTTAAAGCTTTCTTACAACCAACTATTACTACATGTCTTAGTGGAGCATATCATACCAGTTTTATTTCTAAATTCTACAGAATTCCTTACTCTATAACTCTCAGTCTATCTACAACCCAAACTGCAACAACTATTTCTTTAAATTGATTCAAAAAAATTAGTAACTAACTTCCTGCTTTACTTAATTCCAAACAATAACAATTAGATATTTCTTCTACCAAATCTTATATTCTATTCCTTAGCTTTACAATAGATCCTATTTCAACTGCTATCATCCTATACTCTTAACATTACTATACATGCTTTATACATAGAATTAAAAACATTCCTTGTATTGCAACTAAACAAAGCAATTATATACCAGACTATACTATTTGTACTATATTCAAAAATAATCTATTATATAGGCTCTGTGCTTTTGACCTATTAAATATCAAACTCAAATCTCTCATACAAACTTCATCTCTAACATTTCAACAACAAATAACTACAACCATAATTAAGTCAAAACTAATCAATTTAAACACTCAAACCTCCTCTTCTATCTCTTATTAACAAATAATTCCTCTTCTTACTCTTAAACAACAAATCATTCTTGCTCTTATTAAACTTCAATAAATGAAATTTATTGACAAAATTCAACTTTTTATTTCTTTTTATTCAAAAAAAAAGAAAAACAACAAATAACAAAAACAAAAAAAAAACCTAATGAGATACTAGCAATGATCTTGCTAGTTTAAAGAATATTCTGTAATTGACTTAATAAAAAATAACACTAAACTTAATAACCCTATTGCCCAATAACTACTTACTTTCCTTAAATCATATCTTATCGACATCTATTCAGAAAAAATTATTCAACCAGCAACTGACAAAACTCCTGAATCCAAACTTAATTATAAATATTTAGTTAAAATTTTCACAATCAAAAGACCTAAATTTTCAACTGATCTTATTTATGAAACAAATCCTTCAATTGACAAATCTATATTTATTTCATTTAAATTAATCTATTTTACTTTTATCTCTCTTCTTCAAGAATTTACTACAATTTTATTTATTCAATTGAATTATCCAAAATCTTTGCTTCCTATAGCTTTATTTCTCCATATACTACTATTAATTAAAAACAAATAGCCCTCAACTTGGCTTGCTTATATCTTATTCTTTATGACAAATACAAAACTATTCATGCTGAAAAATTCTATAAAGACCTTAAACTTTATCCTATTTACTTCAAACTATACTATTATATTAGTGAGGATAATATTAATCAACCACTCTTTAAAATTCAAATGATGACAAATTCAATATCAACATTTCTCTTAATATTTCTAAAAAACAATTTCTTCAAATATTTCAAATTCCTTTCTTAAAAAATCATCTACCTGAATTCCAAGCCTGGTTCAAAAATTTTTTCAATATTTATAAATAACAATTCTATAATATTGACCAAGAAAAAACTTTCAACTATATTAGATACCAAATTGCTCTCAAGTTATCAAATGAATGCAAAGCATTTTTACCCTCTAAATTCAAAATTACTTCTATTGACTCTTTACAGAAATGCTCTAAACTATGTTTCAAAGCTGCCTTATACCATATTTACACATGTATAGTTGAAAACTGTACAACACTACCTAAAGACACAGAACATAATATTAAAAACCTATTCTTTCTTTTCTTTACTAATTCATATAATTATTTTCCAGCCCCAACTAACATATAATCTAAACCTAAATGTACATATCCTGTTTTTGACTTCTTTATATTTAACAAAAACTAACCAAATAGTGCTACTTATTACTTTTCTCTATCAACTCGCTTCCAAAACTGAAAATAATTTTACTGAACTCAACAATACTGATACCAATTAAGTACAAAAAACTATTATTTTTATAGTTTTTTCAAAGCTTATCTCAGTGCTGCTGCTACAAATGACCAAATTAACAACCATTATCTATATTAAATTATTAACAAAATCACTAGCAAACCTATTAGTACTGAGTACTTACTCGAGTACTTACATACTTTCATATTCTTAAAAATAATAAACTTTCTATTTCATCAATTAGAGAATCTTATAACAAAAAATCCTATTCTAAAGCTCAACAAATTCTACACTCCAAATTTATTATTAAATTTAATTTATCTAAAACCAAATTCATCTTTTCTAATTTAAATACTCTTACCAAACCAACATCTTAAACATCTAAAGAAAATAAAAATTCATCTAAACTTCCTATTAATGACATTATCATATCAGAGTCAAATACTAATAATAATAACCAAAACATAAAATAAAACTCACAACCAGATTATGTTACAATACTTTCTTATAATTCTTTTCAATAAACTCTTCTGTAGAGTACATAAATGCAGTCACTGCTTCTAAGATAATGATGTTTTCTATACTTAGTAAACCATTCTTAGAAGAAAATAATGTAAGTAGTTAAGTCTATTTACATAGAGGATCAGATTAATGATGGCCAGACCCAACATACAGGACAGGCTATGATATTCTGTGCAGCTGTGCAAGCTAAGCATACAGTGAGTGAATCTACAGAAGAACTCTTTACTTTCTTGAATTTTATTTTATCATCTCACATCAAGAAAGAATTACAAAACTCATCTCACAATACATTATATGATCCAGACTTATGCTACAACCTGTGGTTAGCATGTTTGAACCTACTTTTACTTCCACATCCTCAAACACTTAGATTCTTTTTAAAACACATTCATCATTACAACTATTTACAACTAAACAATTTTAATTATACACTCACAATATTAATCAAAATTGATTATAGTAAATGCTATATACATTTTCCAAACAAATCCCAACCTTTATCTAAATATTTCTTTCTATAACTATTAGGCTATACTTATTATCCATCTATACCTATTCCTTCTAAATTCTTCTCAATAAACAATAACACACCAAACACTAACCTAATTATAAAAGAAAGTGATATAGACTACAGTTACTTTCAATTAATCAGAACTATCTTAAAAGGTCATGATGAAACTACAATAGCTAAACAATACTATAACAATATCCAACTTAATACCTATTATAACAAATTTCTATTCTATAACCATCTACTATTGCTTTCTCATCCTCAAACTATTATTTCTTTTTTATAACACATCTACAGCTTTGGCTACTTATCTGATAATGCTTGTGGCTATACATTAACTATTTCTATTAAAAATAATTATAGTGAAGCTCATGTTTATCTTCCATCTAAAGCTAAACTATTATCTAATTACTTTATTCTAGCAGTTCAAGCCATCTGGCATTATCCAAACATTCAGCTAAAATCAAACACATCAACATCTGTCTTTTCTATACCAGCACTTCTAGCTTCTACTTCTAGTAACTTAACGCAACTTAGATCTTTAAATACCTTACCTCTAAATCTTACAATCTGTATTCACAATATTCGAGAATACAATAAAAACCTCAAAC